TTTAACAATGATTCATTCATGAGTTCAATATTTTTATATATTTCATTCATCACTCATGAAATCATAAAAGTGCGAAAATTGTATTCAGGTTATGACATTCGTAACTCATTGGATTATTTTCTATTATTTGATAATGCAAACGATTTTCCCGTTTAAAGTGGGTTCCTTCCTTTTTTCCTTATCTCATTATGATATTTTGATTCATTTATCACTGCAATGGCTCTTTCAGAATAATTATTGAGCATCAACTCCGCAGCTATATGATTATCGAAAAACAGATGATTCCGACATACTGATTAACTGCTTTTACCTCGAACACCTTGCAACCTATTAACTGAATTGGTGGTATGATGACATGCACATGCACACAGGCGTATCAGGCTAAGCAATCGAGCAGACTTTCTACACTCTGGTGAAAGCATGTTTTTGACTATGCCAACAATAGCAACAGTATGCAGCGTTATCATAGACATAAGTTTGCAGTGTAAAAAGGTGACCAATTTGGTCTCGTGTGCTTCTATGGGTATGAGGACGGATGTGACTTCCCTGCCCTGCCATGATGTTCATACATTGATCACATTTTGTCTTATTTCAAGTACATAATTTGCATCTCTATGCAACATTGGTTGCGTTAAAACATTGCACGATTTCTGCAATTATATAAGTTGCTGTTGCACTGTAAGTCAGAAAATACAGTTTACAGCTAGTACCTCAAAGAAACACTTATGTTCGTCGGATTCCAGTCAGTTTTATTTGTCCAGCATACACAGTTGTTGTAGGTATTAGTATTTTCTTCAGGTCATAGTACTACAGTTTCCCATTGAACGAGATTGAACGCACCTCTCTCCAACGAGTTAAACCACGCTAGGGTTACTGATCAAAAAGGAATATGATTTCACGTATCTCATCTCCGAAATCATCATTCTATTCCACCGGTCATTCTACCAGTATATATATTCAACAATAACTCAGTGATATGCTTGTGCCAGAATCTCCCTACCTCGTGTAGCAAATGTTCAGAGTCTCGTCTAAACAATGTATTTTGCTTTCCAGTTGTTTGATTTGTCTGATGTACGTTGAGTAGTACATCGTTTTGAATGATGTCTCTGACTGCTTGCATCCGACAATCTAGTGTTAGCCTCCACTAGTCTCGTAACGATGGGGCTTGTGAAGGATGCCCTCTCATGGATGTGTAGTTCTCCCTATTATGGCAAAGGTATGGTTTCTTTCTGTCCCTCCGGAATATTTCGTTTCTGAGCATGTTTAACATGACTGCACCATAGTCACTACATCCTATTGGTATATGTAAATGGATATCCTCAACAATAAGCAAGTCATTTAACTGCTTTTAATTGGCGTGGGGACATGGTAATCTTCAATCAGGAGCTGATTGTCTGTTAAGGCGCTGTTAGCAGAGATTAGCTGAACTAAACCTGTCTCTTCTCATGTGGAAATACTCATATCGGGAAGGACAGTTTTGCCTAAGGTTTCTGAGATTTCAGGAGGTTTCTTCGGCATCTTGTGACAAGTCTATATATTCGCCCACAACTGTGGGGGTTCCCGTTTGCTGGCTTTCTTACTCATGGACAGACGATATAGTTTAACCTGTATGCTACTCATTCCAAGTATTGCGCAGTATTTATCTGGATGTTCTTTATCAAAGATAGCTCTACTTTCCAGTAAGCCACATTCCTACGATGGAACATTAAATAAATGATGCAAGTATTGTTGAACGGACCCACCTCTGATTTGCAACGTTTTAAGAGCTGTTTCTGTGTCACTGTTTCTTTTTTCATACGATTGACTACCGCTCCACTCTATTAACAGATGCTGGGTCGTCTGCAACAACCGGCGATTGTTTGGTGCATTAGCTCGGGTTACGGCACATTTGTCGCTTGTTTGGTCGCCCTATTGCTGGATGCGATAGATTTACTTGGGGTATCAGTGCCTGCATTCTAATTTGTGTCTGTGGCTTCTCTGTTGTTGATTTTCGGTCCCAATGATTCTAAGGTGTGGAAAAACATCAAGGAAACATAGACAAAGATAACCCTGCATGAACTCGTAATACTGTCAACTCATAGCAGTGTCACAGCGACCATAAATTTATGCACTACAGGAGCTACATTTTAGGAGTTGCAGCAACTTCACTCACCCCGACATAATTGGTGTCTACACTACCTATAACCGTAACAAAAGAACAAGAATCGAGTGTAAAGAAATCAACTGGTTTATGCTAGCTCGTGAAAAAGATATTGGATATTGGGAATTCAGAGTCGTTGGATTTCACTATAAATGAGCATGGAATAGAACTACACTTGCGTTCTCTCTGAACAGTAGACTGTGTCATTTCAGTCTAAGAATGCCGTATCCCTATCCTTATTTTGCCTGCTGATCATACCAGGAGTAATCTAAGGATTAGGATTCTTCCTGGTTCCTCTGTCGAATACCCAGTGAGTGTTTGTTTAGAGTGATACGGGGTTACAGAAATTACTCGACAGTTCACTATCAAGTTACATTTTGAGTTTTTCCATAATTCTGTTGATGGACGTGCAATCTTCAAACTTCTATGAACCCCGGATTTCATACCTCTTCTAGTTTGTCTAGTTGTTGTATTGTGAAGAACTGGTAGCAGCGTCATTACTATACATGTTGCTTGATAGATTTCAAAGTGGACAGGGAGGTCATTTAATTAGTATAATACGCGGGTTTTGCGTTTTGGAGGTCGAAAATAGTGGCATTAAACCGGGTGAATACATAATAAGCAAGAATAGAACGTGGAGGACAACCGAAATTTCAACGTTACATCTGACCATCCTAGTGAGCACTTCGCGTTGATTCAGTAACTTTTCCACATGTAGTGTTTTTGCGAGTGAATGAATGTGTGCATGCTACCGAGGCAACTAGAAACAGAGCAGTTGATAGAGACAGTTGAACCTACCGCAAACTGGTTTCAACTTTGTACGAGTACATTGGTCCGATTTGTTACTTCAGCTGTTTAACAATGGGTGAAGACAACGTTTATATCCGCAGTAATGTTTAAATCTCCTGATCTGATATTGAAAACTGGGTCGTTTTCTGTCAACGGT